CGGTGACTACTATTGGGTGTTTGTGCCTCGGCTTACAATGTCGCTGGCCTTAATTACCATCCTCTCCGCATATCCTGCGCGGGACATGGTTCGGGCGAGGAGACAAGGAGTCCGAGCAACAAGCCAAGAGTGGATTCTGGCGATGCTCCCATCACCCTCCGCTGGGATGACAATGATATGTAAGTGAGAGTATGTACCTAGTTTGCCGTTAACTGAAGGACGAATGGGCTATGAACAATGATGATGAAAGGTTATTGCCTTCAATATAAACAAACACAGTCAATGACGAGGTTCATCAACATCAACAACAATGTCAGGCATGCACAGGAAATCCAGGAACATATGCACAGGAAATCCAGGAACATATGCACAGGAAATTGTGTGTTGAGTGGGCAAGTGCAGTGCAGCAGACCAGCAGTGGTGGGTGGAAACCGAGCAGAGAGAATGGAAGCAATGATTTTCCACAGTTGCCCGTCACTCTCCGTCACTCTCCACCGTAGCACTGTGATGCTGTACCTACAGTGTACAAGTCGGCGATCGGTCCAGCCGGACCCCATGCAGTGTCGATGGTCGACCATCCAGAAGCAAGGTTCCCCTGGAAATCCTGGGTACAGGTTCCATGCCCACTCTTTTCTTCTTTTTCGAATTCTGTACCGCCCCTGCGCGGTCTTGGCGCAAACCGACCAAAGAAAAGACGAAGTGAACCTCGCAGCTGGAGACTGGAGACTGGAGACGGAGACGCATCTTGTATGCACCTGCAGTGGGTGAGTGCACTAGGTACTCCGTTCTGCGCAGTATATCGCATCTGCTCCTTCTGCTCTAACCCCCCAGGTGGATTTCCTCCTCCTTCAGGATTAATTTCGCTCCGCTACCCTTTTCCCTTTCCTTCGATTCACTGTGCCTGTGTGCCTTACACCCGACCTTCCCTCTAACTTAGAGGTATTTGTCTCGCTTGCTGCCCACGTCCTTCATGGCTGCACGTCCTAATACTTTCCATGCAGTTCAGACCCCCAAATAATCCTTGGACCCTGATCCTTTCCTTGTGAGACAGAGGACCTCTTCCGCTGGGCGCATACCTGTCAGGTACAAACATACTTTATCTCCAGTCTCGTTGGTCGCAACAGGCGAAGCAGGGTTCCCGAGACTCTCTGTTTGTCAACAAACAAAAGAGCAACAAGATCGACCTTCCCGCTTCTCCCCTCGGCCACCACTTCTAGCGGCACCAGTCAAAGAAAAGAGGCACCATTGTCACCACCTTCTTCCATCCATCCGACGGCCTTTCTTTTTCTTCCCTTTCGCTTCACAATGCGCGCCGTTTAATACTTAATACCACCCGATACTACTCAACGTCATCACGACTCAACCGACGCCTTCGATTCGCTTCCGTGGTCCTCGTTCAATCCTCGATTCTAGTCGACATTTATAGTTGCCATGGAAGGCATTCTGTGTGTGCCCCCCGATAGGGGCGCCATCATTGGGAGGGCGGTTTGGAAGGTGCGCACATATCTGGAGGATTTCAAGCTGGAGGAGCTTTGTGTGTCTGGACAAATTCTGATCGGTTAATAGCCTCGCTATGTCGTTGTGGGAAATGGGCTACGGGAACCGCAAATACAGTCCAGCCTGGGCCGATCACAGAGCAACCGAAGCTCTACGCCAGCCCGGATGCAGATCAAGGTGTCTCCGGATACCATGTATCTGTCCATCTACAAGTCCAAGGTAAGTGACGGAAGTTCTGGTGCCCCTCCAGTTCGCCTGTGTGAGGTTGTTTTACTAAACTGGTCAACGTTTCTAACCTCAACTTAAACGTGTAGGAGGATTTGGAGCCGGCATTGCAAGTTGCCGTGTCCTTGATAACCGACTGTCAGGTTCAGATGCTGGCGCACCGCAAGCAAGGGCCTCTACTCCTAACAATGGTTGTCAACGTCGCCCCTGATCCCGCCGCTGAGAAGATGCGCAAACGACGTTCGAGCAGGACCGCCGGTCTGACCACCGGCAAGGACTCGATTCCCTCCACATTGCTGTTCCGCGCAGGCGAGGATAGCCACTCACACCATTCGCTCCACGAATGGGCTAGCTTCATCCAACAGCTTATCCGCCCAAGTGTCGTTCCGGAGGGGCAGGCCGCCCAGCCCCCTTTGAGTCCCATCACTCCGGCCTCGCCAAGTTTCGTCAACCCGTTTTCATGCCGATCCGGTGATGTGCAACATAGACCAAGCAGCGGGAGCGCAAGCTCACGACCCAGTTTCCACCCCATGAACTTCACACCAATATTCACCAACCGCGAGCGCCCGGTCACTCTAGTCGACACCCCGAGTTTACACTCCAAGCGCAGTGATGTGTCGTCACAAACCAGCTCCATGAACCCGAGCTTGGGCTATCAGCACTATACGGCCATGTTTCCTGCCGATTTGCCATCACCGGCTACCACTGTTGGTGAGTACCAGGGCGAGTTTATCGAAGGTTGGACTTCCGCTCAGGGGAGGTCCTCTGCACTGAGCTCACCCATAAGAGGACGTGACAATAGCGTTGGTTCCCAGTCACCAGCGCCGCTTCCGCCGCCAACGCTTGACCCTACTTCGCCCCCAGGCCCTCGGGAGACCATCCTGGATAGAGCCTTCCAAATGCGCTGCATTCCAGGTTCGGAGCTCAATGTACCAGGAGAAGAGAAGCTCAGCTCGCTGGCTCGGTTCGACGCGTTGATGCGAGAATTGGATGAAAAGAGGAAGAAACGCGAGGCGGATGAAGCTAGGAGCAGATCCGCAACACTTGCAACCTCCGATCCTGCAACAGAACGACCTGGACTCAAAAGTGCATGGGACGTGGTCGAGGCCTCGAGCCCAGAGGAGGATATCGACGAAGAGGACGAGGACAGTGATGTGCCCGAGGTTGAGCGTGACTCGGAGGATGGCTTCATGATCCCATCCTCCACTCGAAGAGCCTTGGAGTTCATCACAGGAAGGAACGAATTGGCTTCGCCACAGAAGCAGTCCTCTCGCCAACCCATCCGAGCTCCGTTAATGTATAACGCGGACGCCCTGAATGCTCTGTCATCAGGTGGTGGCAGCTCCTCTCGGCCACAGACCGGTTATTCTCACAGGTCCCGTCCGTCCATTGGCGCAAGAACACAGTCGCAGCCTCAGATGACGGAAATGCTTGCTGCCTACGGAAGCCCCTTAATGGGTGTTCCCGAAGGACATCCCGAGACGTCTTTTGAAGAAGGTAGCTTGGCTACCGCGATGAACTCGGCTACGTCGACGCCGCTGCAGCATAGCCACCGTCGCTCAACGTCGAGCGGTAAGCACCTGAGCTTCACTGACTTCACGAAACGTCTCAGCAGCACCAGCAGCCTGCTCCTGGTTCAGACCAACAACAGCACCGGCAGCAGTCGTGGCAGCAGCAATAGTGAGGCCGACGCTACACAGGTTCAGCCTCAGCAGCGGGCACAGTCACCGTTGCAGGGCGACAAGATGATCCCTCGGAGCGCTGGCTCACCGCCGCAACGTTCGATCGACCGAGAGGTTTTGGACAAGCGATGCGGCTGGCGCGGCAGCGTTGGGGTGTTTGGCGGTGCCGAGGGCGGGCTCCTTTAGAAGAGGGCTAAACGGCGCCCTCTCATACCAAGCGCCAACTCGTCAAAAGTTGCGCTCTCGCTTGCTGCGACAAGTAAGAAAGAGAGGAAGCTGTTCAAACCAAGTTCTTGGCTCGGACGGGCTGGCTGAGCACCCTCATTTCTGGACCTTGACCTACGTGCATCACTTATTGCTGGAGTCTTTGATCACAACCCGCCCAACTCTTATTCCACACACACGACTCTTTCTCTCCCATCATCAAATTCTTCGTCTTAGCATCTCCAACAACTCGTATTTAACGACTTATCACGATCGAGCGAAACTCATCATTACCATATCATATCTGCACAAAACGGAGTGGGGGGCACACGGGCATCTGGCGTTAGAAATCATTATCATCATCATCATTATTAGTAGTTTGTCTCTTCCTGCTTGCTTGCTCTTGTCATTCCACATCACACACACACTCAAGGCGTCCTCATGGGAAGACATGACTTAGGTCCTTTGGAAAGAAGAAGGAGAAGATAATGAAGATGAGGGCCAATGAAGCCAATGAAGTTGGGTATGGGAGTTTGAGAGATGGTGAAGTGGAGAAAAGTTTGAGGATGGCTCGTCGTAGGAGGGCAGGCAGGAGGGCTCATGTAATATGAGCAGCTGGCCAAATACGCCGCAATGTATATATATTTACACGAACGTCTACAAAAATAGTAGTACTGGACACACTTTAGATTCTACACTATTGCCATGTGCCGCGGTGAAATTCGTGGACTGTTTTAATGAGGCCACAGCCAGTCTGTTATCCATTCATTGATGCCGCTAACACAAATGGCACGAACGACGTGCTGCCCCATGCGCCCCAACAGACACGCTACATCGTCACTACTAGCTTATGAGGTCATTCTTTCCCTCAAACTCACATAAAACTCGACTCTTCATTGCTTTAGTTCATCGGCAACTAACAATCACCCACCGAAGCTCATGAAATGTTCGATAGGGGTGGCAAGAACAATCCGCTCAGGGTTCGAGTCTCGGTGAGTTTTACAATCGAAGCATCGCTGTTAGTGTATACTTCTATAGAGCTCTTCCCCCACTTACCGCAGGGGTCTGTGGTGGTCCCGCTCCCGTCCCCGTGGGGACCGAATGGATGGCGGGAGGAGCTCCGAGCTTCAGTGTTCAGTTCTTGAGGAAACGACACCTCACTTCAGCCCCGAGCTGCAATAGACTGTTTTCTATCACAAATGTCCGAGATTCCGAGTCATTCGGTTGGGCAGCTAAGGTAGACAGGCTCACAGGATATCGTTTGAGGCAGGCGGCTTCGAACGGATATCAACCAGAGTCATCATGTCTTGCGGTCGGGTCCCGGCTTCCCTTCCTTTCATTCCTTCCAGTGAGCGAGCGTAGCAGGCTAGCAGCTTCCTGAGAGGGGTCAATATGAACACCCGTGACAAGAAAGGATCACCGAGGCTTGCCCCGTTCACGCCTGAGAACATTACTGATGTGATGTCTACTCATTCACGGTAGGTAAGGCAGGTATTAGACACCATCAATAACTCAAACAGCATCACTCTGGGATATTATTTGAAGCTTGATACATCAACTCCAGCTCTTAACGTTTACAATCGACTCGAGTTCGCCCACGCTCGCCATTCCCGACTTGCCTTGGACTCCATCGACCGTCGCTCCAGTCAAACAGTTCAAGTTGCTGCACAGCCGACCAAAATTACAAGAAGCTTAGAAGTAGAAGCTAGCAGTCAGCACTCCAATACCCAGACCCGGACGCAGTAAGCAATCTTTTTCCATCCGACCGAACTTCCCGACTAGAAGTAGGTAGCTTGGACTTACTTCGTCATCATCTACTCGTAAGTCATGGACGCGCTCGGTTCTTTGTATTTCCCATGTTCGTTCTCTCTTTCACATCCTGAAAAGCGTTGAGGTTGGACCCAAGAGCATTCATTGCCAAGCAACAATGCACAATGCACACACGCAACCAACTGCCACGACTGCACACGGTTCTCCCCGCGATCGGCGAGCTTCTCTTTAGTGTTGTTAGTGCAGAACTAAGGTGGATGACGGTGCTCTTTTGCTGACCCCCTCTTTGGTGATGCTTCTAGTGACAACCAACAAGCACCATTCGCCCTCTTCGCACTGTCGCAGCGTCGTAGGAAGCCTCAGCTGTCTGCTCTGTTACACCCGCCAGATGCCGGCTCCGGCTGCCTACAAGCCCCTACCAACAACCTTATCTGAGCGGCAACCGGGAAGTCCACTTTAGCTTTACGTCGATAGACATACAACCACAGGACAACAACTCAACCTGCATCCTCCTCCACGACCACCTTGCTGCTGTGCTGTCGCCTCCGCTCTTCAGTGTCAGTGTTCACCTAACACGCGACCCGCCAGCATTCCGTCTCGATCCATCCGACCGTCATCGCTTCTCACCACCCAACATCGCTGCGGGAACGGACATCGGTCCCGCGCCAGATACGATTTCACCGTGGCAGACCGAACCCCCAACCAAGTTCCCATATATCCCCCAGACTCCGACCACCGCGCAAACAACCCGCAACCCCCGGCTCCCTCTTCCGACACTGTCGAACCCGCCCCAGTTTCCGCTCCACCGTTCCCAGCTGCTCCCCCGCAGCCACCGTCCGTGACGCCATCGGTTCCCACCAGTCTTCCACCGTTGTACGTCCCTCAAGGTCCACACGACCGCCCGCACCCCTACACTCCATCCCAAGTTCTCGGACGCCGCCAAACCAGTGATTTGGACGAAAGCGGACAAGACGAATACCGCCTCGCCTCGAACGACATCTCAGTCAGCGCGACCTCTTCGGCCGCTACTACTACCACTTATACCTCCCCGCGGCCACTCAAGCGGAGACGCGGGATCATGTCGGCCGACATCGATGGCCAGAACTCGTCGAATGGGTTTGGGCAGTCACTATCTAATGGATCTCGGCCAGAGGCGGGCTTCACAATGGCGGTATCTAATGGAAATGGGACGCTCAAGGCAGCATCTGGGCCATCAAATGGGTCAGCTTGGGAGGCGAATCGCCCAAGGTTACAATCAGGGAGATACCACGGCCACAACCGGGAACAGTTTACACGCCTCGTGATACAGGCTATGACGGAGATGGGATACAACGACGCAGCAGACAAACTCAGTCAGGACAGCGGCTACCGACTCGAAAACCCTACGGTGGCTGCCTTTCGAGCTGCTGTCTTGGACGGTGATTGGGGAAAGGCGGAGGAGCTTCTTAATAATGCGCACGTTGCTGGAATAGCAGATCCTGGTTTGAGGGATGGCCTGATACTTGCCCCAGGAGCGGATCGCAACATGATGAAGCTTTGGCTGAGACAGCAGAAGTACTTGGAGCTATTAGAAAGGCGCGAAACACCACGGGCTTTGGTGGTGCTGCGGACGGAGCTCACACCGTTGTGCGGGGATCAGCACCAGAAGCTGGAGTTCCTGTCAAGCCTTCTCATGTGTGCGAGTGCCGAGGACCTGAAGGAGAAGGCCGTATGGGACGGTGCTCGCGGAGAAAGTCGGCACGCCTTGCTCTCTGAGCTATCTAGTATGTTGTGGAGTGTCAACCTTCTTTGGGTCTTCAAACCGGCTAACACGTTTTTCGCAGAATTCGTTTCGCCTTCGGTTATGCTCCCTGAGCACAGGTTGGCGGCACTTCTTAATCAGGCACAAGAAATCCAAATTAGCAACTGCCTATATCACTCGACCCTCCAAACACCCTCTCTTTACAAGGACCACGTGTGCGACAGGAAGGCTTTTCCCGCGATTGCCAAGTATAAGCTGGATGAACACAACGGCAATGAAGTGTGGCAAGTAAGGTTTTCACATGACGGAACACGCTTAGCAAGTTGCGGCATGGAGCGTCTTGTCGTCATCTATAGCGTGCCTGACTTTAAAGTGATACACAAGTTAGACACAGGCGACGAGCAACACGATAACCGGGGTGTAGGTAATATCGCATGGAGCCCGGACGACAAGATGCTCGTCACTTGCGCAATGAACGCAAAAGTGTGGGATACCGAGGTAAGTGCAGCAAGCGGCAACCATGGCCACAACTGTATGTCTGTTTTGCACTCACTAACAAGAGAATGACAATGCAGACTGGAGCGCTAATCAGGACCATCGACCAATTCAACGAGCCAGTCAGTAGTTGCGCTTGGGCCAGCAACTACGTTCTTATCACCGGGTCCTTCGACAAGGAAAGGTCAATCTGTTCCTGGAATCTCGGCATAGCCGATGTGTTCAAGACTGTGTGGACGAAGGACCATCGAACGGAAGACCTGGCGCTGTCCCCCGATAGAAACTGGGTTGTTGCCCTGGACGAGCAAAAGCGGTTTCATGTCTACAACTACCACACGCGCGAGCAGGTTTATTCACACGAGTTGAAGGATAGAGGAACATCACTCTGTATAAGCCAGGACTCGACGTCTCTGTTGGTCAATACGCAAGTAGGAACAGCGACTTTGTATGATATTCCCACCAAGGATGTCATTCGCCAGTACAATCAGCACAAGGGTGGGGACTTTCTTATCAGGGCTTACCTTGGTGGCGCGAATGAGGGTTTCGTCCTGTCTGGGAGCGAGGGTAAGTGACTCCAGGAAGTTTCTTGAATACGTCTCAAAACCGAATGATGAGGCTGACAAGCGAATTTCCAGACGGGTCAATATATATCTACCACAAGAACACGGGCATCTTGGTGGCGAGGCTTAAGGGAGCTCATGCACCGCGTTGCAACTCTGCCGCGTGGAATCCATCAGACCCGCGCATGATTGCTAGCTGCGGAGATGATGGGTTGGTAAAGATGTAAGTTTGATAGACCCTCTGAACCTGGACGCTCATCATTTGCTGACCCATCCACAGTTGGTACCCAGAATGGCCCGACTGGGATGAGGATATGGAACACAGCGCAAATAACAACAACGGAACCGTCCACGACACAGCGAGGCCGCGATAGAATATAGGGCGTCTGTCTTTGCCGCTTACAGAACGTGTACTTTTCGTGGTTGAAAATCAGTTGAGGAACGACATCCAGCCATGGAAGGTCACGGAAGATTAAGTGTTGAGGATTGTCATGGAAGGAAGGATAAGGACGGTACACCACCCAGCGTTGTATTTACATATGTGGCTTTTTCAAAGCGATGATTGAGTAATCGATGGATGGACGGACGGATGGACGGATGGACGGATGGTCGGACAGGAGGCATTGCATTCTTTTTTTATTCCTTTTTGGCTTGGAAATGTTTTCTATACACAGTCAAGAAGTTGTCTCACCTCAAAGAAGGGTAGAACTGAACAAGTTACAGAGCAATGCAGCGTAGCATAGGATATCGGGGCGGGTCAGGAGAGGTATGTAGAGATAACAGAGATAGTTTTCACACTTTGCAGTGGGTTCAAGAGCATTTGAGCAATTCGTAGTTTTCAGAGATACTGGTTCGTCTCGGCAAGTGCCTGATTTACGGTCACACGCCTTGTTTTCTTGATGCCTTTTTATTTTATAGCGCCCAATCCGTGAGACCATGACGCGGCCTGAATTAGGTAGAAGAATAAAGCTATCTTGGCAAGCAAGATGCTTTGAGACATACGTAATCGGCCGCGCACGACGACGGAATTTCATGATTGATGATTATTGGTGAGCCTGTTCGGATAGTACTATGTGATTGCACTTGTCTATAAGAAAGTGAGATCAAAGTTTTGAAGGAAGTGTTCAAAGAGTTCAGATATTTTGAAGTTCTCAAAGACGTTAGAGACAACGACTCTGCAGATAAAGTACCGTCACGTGCGGTTAACAAGGGGGTCCCTTCTGTGGGCTTTTGTGTGCTGCGAGTGGCCTGCGACAGTGATCCAGTGGACGCACGGTGACCCCCCTTCAGCCCCCCCGGTGGCTATGTGGCCCCCTGCCTGTGCGTGCGGGTCTGCGACGCTACGTCGTTCACGGACATCGACCTGACTGAGGTGCCTCGCCGTCCCGTCGTCGCCTCAGCTTCGTGTCAAAAAGATTCCCGTCTCCAGAACATTAACCAACGTCTAGTAATATATTCAGTTGCCAGTCCCAACAAGCCGGCTTGTTTTACGCATCTCCCGTCACCCCGTCAAAGCGCCGCTTGCACGAACCGCGATACCTTTGAGACGTTTGCGCCTGGCTGTTTGCCTTAAGACGTTAGGTAGTTCAGGCTCCTTATCTACCGAAACCCAAGCGAAGCGGGAGGAGGCACCAGAAACCGCCGACACCGCCTGCCACCAACCCACGACATCCCACAACTCCAAACAAACACATCACCATCGTCCACCTCTGCATAGCCAGCAATCATGACGGTAGACGTGAATACCGGGTCGCTCAGCACCCCCGGAGGTATCTCTGACCCCGGCCTCATCAAGTACGTCCAAGTCCTGCTTCCACTCCTTCCGGCCTACCTGATCGCATGTCGGGCATCATCGTCGTCGTCTTCAGTTCGCTAACATGGTCGCCATCCGCACAGGCTCGTCAACAAGCTCCAGGATGTCTTCACCACCGTCGGTGTCAACAACCCCATCGATCTCCCCCAAATAGTAGTCGTCGGCAGTCAGTCCAGCGGAAAGAGTTCCGTACTAGAAAACATTGTTGGTCGCGACTTGTGCGCATCCCCCTCCCCCGCCCCCTTTCCCCGCCCCTAGCCTAGTCTTTCTTCGCTTTCCACACTAGTCTCCCCAAAAATACTAACTCGAGACCCTTGTTTTTTTCTCCTCCAGTCTTCCCCGTGGCTCCGGTATCGTGACCCGCCGTCCCCTCGTCCTCCAGCTTATCAACCGGACAGCCACCCAGAACGGCTTCGGCAATGAGCTCGACGATAACACCGACAAGGCCGCCAACACGGACGAGTGGGGCGAGTTCCTTCACATTCCCGGCCAAAAGTTCTACGACTTCAACAAGATCCGCGATGAGATCAGCAGAGAGACCGAGGCCAAGGTCGGCCGCAATGCCGGCATCTCGCCTGCTCCCATCAACCTGAGAATCTACTCGCCCAACGTCCTCAACCTCACCCTCGTCGATCTTCCCGGTCTGACAAGAGTGCCCGTTGGCGACCAGCCGCGCGATATCGAGAAGCAGATCAGGGACATGATTCTCAAGTATATCCAGAAGTCCAACGCTATCATCCTGGCCGTCACTGCTGCCAACGTGGATTTGGCCAACTCGGATGGTTTGAAGCTGGCTCGGGAGGTGGATCCCGAGGGTCAGCGCACCATCGGTGTGCTTACAAAGGTCGATTTGATGGACGAAGGTACCGATGTCGTTGATATTCTCGCCGGTCGCATCATCCCCCTCAGGCTAGGATACGTGCCCGTGGTGAACCGTGGTCAGAGGGATATCGACAACAAGAAGCCCATCAACGCTTCGCTCGAGGCCGAGAAGAACTTCTTCGAGAACCACAAGGCGTACCGTAACAAGAGCTCATACTGCGGCACGCCCTACCTCGCCCGGAAGCTCAACCTGATCCTGATGATGCATATCAAGCAGACCCTGCCCGATATCAAGGCCCGTATCTCCAGCTCGCTACAGAAGTATACCCAGGAGCTCGAGTCCCTGGGACCTTCGATTCTCGGCAACAGCGCCAACATTGTCCTCAACATCATCACCGAGTTTACCAACGAGTGGCGCACTGTCCTTGACGGTAAGAGCACCGAGCTCTCCAGCCAGGAGCTGTCGGGTGGCGCCAGAATCAGCTTCGTCTTCCACGAGCTGTACTCGAACGGTGTCAAGGCAGTGGACCCCTTCGACCAGGTCAAGGACTCCGATATCCGCGTTATCCTCTACAACTCCTCCGGCCCCTCTCCCGCTCTCTTCGTCGGAACTGCCGCCTTCGAGCTCATCGTCAAGCAGCAGATCAAGCGTCTCGAGGAGCCCAGTCTGAAGTGCGCGTCGCTCGTGTACGACGAGCTTGTCCGCATCCTCACCACCGTGCTCGCCAAGCAACTATACAGGCGCTACCCCGGCCTCAAGGAGAAGATCCACCAAGTGGTCATCTCCTTCTTCAAGAAGGCCATGGAGCCCACCAACAAGCTGGTGAAGGACCTGGTCGCCATGGAGGCGTGCTACATCAACACGGGCCACCCCGACTTCCTCAACGGCCACAGGGCCATGGCCATCGTTAACGAGCGCCACAACGGCTCCAGGCCAGTCCAGGTCGACCCCAAGACGGGCAAGCCGATCCCGCAGAGTGCTACGCCCGCGCGGGCCGCTAGCCCCACCTTGTCCGGAAGCAACCTCGACGAAGGATCTAACAGCGGCTTCTTCGGCAGCTTCTTTGCCGCCAAGAACAAGAAGAAGGCGGCGGCCATGGAGCCGCCCCCGCCGTCGCTCAAGGCCTCGGGCACCCTCTCCGAAAGGGAGAACATTGAGGTGGAGGTCATCAAGCTGCTCATCCAGTCGTACTACAACATTGTCAAGAGGACCATGATTGATATGGTTCCCAAGGCTATCATGTTGAACCTTGTTCAGTAAGTGCTTTTCTCCCCCTCGCTACCTATCATTCTATGCGCGAGATACTAACTTGAATAACTACCACAGACTCACAAAGGACGAAATGCAAAAGGAGCTCCTCGAGAACATGTACCGCGCCGACGAGCTCGACGACCTCCTCAAGGAGAGCGACTACACGGTCCGCAGGAGGAAGGAGTGCCAGCAGATGGTGGAGTCGCTGTCGAAGGCTAGCGAGATCGTTAGCCAGGTACAGTAGGGTTAGTACTACAATTCGAGAAGACGAAGAGAGTTGTTTATGAGACGAGATCAAGACACATTATTTTTGATGATGGACGTGATTACATAGAAAGAAAGGAAGAGAGGGGGGGGGGGGGGTGGGTATGGATGAAAGTGGTAGGGGATGATGGTGGTAATGATGAGTTGGTTGGTTGTGGGTGGGTGGGTGGGTGGGAATGAGGTTGGAGAATAAAGGAGTTGTTTGTGACAAGACAGATTATTTTAAGTAGCAGTTGATATACCAAGCGATGAAAGAGAAGAACAAGAACAAGAAGAAGAAGGAGAAGAGAGAGGGTGGGTGTCGTTGATGGCACGTTTTTGTGTTTAGCTGTACAGGAAATATTTAACGACTTATCGATGTCCATGGATAGCAATTGAGGTTCGAGGCGAGGATCTTAAAACACCAGGAGATTGTAGGAGATTGTTTGTTTACAAGTTGAATCAGAATCAGGGGGGTATTGTTATCAATTTTTCGTTCTCCTCTCTCCCCTTATCCCCATCTTGCCCAACCACCAACTTATGCTAGCTAGATAGGGCCAACATAAAAACCTCCTCAAATAATCGAACATGCTTTTTTGCATTTGCTTTTTGCAATACATATTTGCCTTTCGCTTCGCTCGCTGTGCTATGCGCGTTTTACTCTTCCCCGCCCTTAAACGCCTCGCCTGCCAAGAATTGAACAATGCGGTTACCTATGATATGAGGAAGATAAAACAATATTGAAAAAGGCGTGTCGCTCATCCAAGGCCAACCAAACCGTACAACTGTACAACCAAGCATTTCGATCCAACATGACCTTTTAGGCCAACATAAAACCCATAAGCCCCTCGTCTCTCGGACTTCTTCTCATGCTTCGAGAGATATCCTTTCGGGTTTCTCTTCAGGACATCCCTTATTTTGGATGTCCCCTTGGCCCGCCACGAGCAACCTGATGCTTTTAGGTAGTGCCAATAACCGAACCAGGCGTCTTTCAGAAAGAACTTTTTGATCAACCTCATAGTGGCAGGCGCAAGCCATTCTTACTGACAAACCCACTCGGCGAAAACGCACCACCTGGCCGTCCTATCGGCCAACACCAGTCCCCTCCACGTGCCGCGCTCGCTGCACTTGATGATGGTCTCCCAAGTTCCTCCGTCCCCTTCCTCGCCCGGCTCGGCCGCTGCTTGCGCGGCCGCCCGGCTGCCGAACCCGATGCCTCCTTTGCCTCCCCTGTCCTCTTTTCTCATCAGCCGGAGGATCTTACCGCCCGGCGTTTGGATGGCCAGCTTGGCGGGTTTCTTGCTGCTGCTGCCGCTGGAACCGCCGGCGGTGGTGCTGGGCTGGGAACCACCGGCTGCGCTCGAGGTCATGCTCATGGCGCTGGAAGGACGGAGGAAAGGGATCGGGGAAGCGCTGCCGGAGGTGATGGAGGGGGACGTGGGGCCGTCGGAGGTCGAGCTCGAGCTCGGGTGTTGGCGGATAATGAAGACGAAGGTATTGTTGAGGGCGAGACCCTGGCATTGGGGTTGGACGATGTAAAGGTCGTGGCGTTGGGCGTGGGGGGTCGGGTGGCGGGTGACGAACTCGTAGGGCGGGTTTTCGCCCGTGTGGATGATGGGAAGAGCGAAGGCGAGAGGGTGCGGGATGTCCTTGATGCTGTGCATCAGGCCACGCTTGCCGGCGTAGATCTTGAGCGTGCCGGTGCCTTCGTCGCCGGGCAGGAGGGCCTTGACGGTGTAGCGCTTCACGCCCCCGAACCACTCTGCTTGTGCGAGGGCGCGTTTCTTGACTACTTCGCCGGACTCAAAGACATCACCGTCGTTATCCTTAGTGAAGGCGCGAGTCTCGACCTCTGCGGCAATTTCGACATCGGCTGGCACGTTGAACTTGATATGCACCATTTCGAGGTCCTCGATCCTGGTCAGAGAGGTGTTGTAGTCAAACATGTCCAGGCCGTTCTTGAAGTAGGGTGGGCAGGCACAGGGAAGATTGAGCAGAATCTCGTGAGCGACAGGCGGGCAGATGTGTTGTTGTTCGTGGTGTTCGGGGATATGCGTCCAGCAGATCTCGGTAGGGCGTGCTAGGAACCACCAGGGGTCGGCTTGAGAGCTGTTCCAACTCGAGTACAGGGCACGGCGTGGAAAGGACGGGCTCGCCAAACAGGTATCCATCATCCTCCACTCGTTGTCAACAACTACCGCATTCCACCAGTGGTTGGGACGGGGAACAATATTGGCATCCGGGATCTCGCCTGGCGACTTGAGATAACCGCGGACGACTTCACAATGCAGGCCCACAGCTTCGCACATCTCCGCAACGAGAACCGCAAACTCTTCGCAGCATCCACGCTTCGAGTGAATAACTCGTCGCGTGTCGATAGGCCCCTCAAAGTCCTCTTCCCAGCAAACCTTTTCGGAAACCCAGGTGAAGATGGCTCGTAAGCGTTGAACATCGCTATTGTATGGTCGGCAAACGTAGGTAGCCGCAAGGGACGCAGCTGTGATGGTAGGGGGCAGGCTGGCCACAAAGCGGGAGTTCTTGTCGACCTGGCTCAAGTTAATGGCTAGATAGTTAAACGGCTCCTGGACGGGCATGCCATCATCGCCCTCATCGCCATCGATGCTGTTGTACAGTTCCTCCACGGGATTCAAAGCTGGATGGTCCAGCATTTGACATCTTTCCTTTCGTTCCGTACGCTCGTTCTGACTCAATGAGTTTGAACGGTTGACGTCTCGCCGAACCTGGACCCAGTCAACACCACTGCCCATGCCTTCCCTCCCAATATTCTTCGCCGGTAACAGGGACGGACCTCCAGATAGAGCAGAAAGCGGATTTGTCGCTGATTTAGTCGGTGAGGATGACCCTGCAGAAGCGATGCTGTTTCTGCTGTTCGCAACTCCAGTCTTGGCAGACTCGAGAATTCGCTTGATGAAGTTCTGCTTCTTCGGCTTGGGGGTAACAAGACCTCCCAGGTTACCCATCGAGTCCTCCTGTCCAAGATCGGTACGGGACTTGGGTCGCATATGTAGATTCTCCGAAGCATGGCTGCTATGGTACGTTACCCCTGTGAACGGAGTTCCTGGGCGGTCGGATTCCTCCTGGATGCTGAGCGCACTGTGAGCCCTGATTCGGTTCTTCCTTGCCAAGCTTCCAGCGCTGGTGGCGCTTATGCCTCCAGCTGAAACACCGCTCATCAGACTCCGATTAGTACTGTCAGTTGTTGCCGAGGAAAAGGTAACATTGCTTGGGGTATCGGATGCATTAGTCGACGTGGTCTTTGTGGTCGAACTTCGATCAAGAGTCTGTCGCCCCATATCATATGATGACTTCTTCTTCCTAAGCCTTGGGTCTGCCGCCACTCGGGACTCGATTGATGACTTTGGCCTGTTCATGAACGGACTTTTAGGGGGAGGAGGGGGGCCTTGTTCGGTAATGTTATTCATGCTGGCGCTGTGTTGGTGCATGGTCCTCAACCTGGATTCCATCCTCTCGACGTAGTTACTTAACTGTGGGAGGCGTGATGGCTCATCTTGTTGTTGAGGAGGTTTGGAGGCGGGTCCTACTAAGCTCGAGCCAGTCCCACTGTATGTTTCGTACCCCTCGTCGATTAGCATGGTGCTCTGGGGTCGTTTATCCCGAGCTTTCCTCGATTTTTGGTGAATTTCTTCAAAAGCCTCGGGCGCCCAGGGGTCGAAAGGCTCCGGAGATCCATCGCGAGGAAGTTTACCGCCGCCGCTCAACACGTCCAACTGCTCCATCACATCATCCATGGCCTCTCTCAACGGTGACGGAGTCATAGCACCTGATGCCGCCGGTGAAGGAGGGCATGGGGAAGGTGTCCTTGCCATGGGGTAGCCATTGGAATTCTGGTTATATGGAGCCGTGGAATTCGGTCTTGGTATATCCTCATAGTACGGTGACTGCTGGTCCCCGTTGTACGAATTTTTGGATCCATGTCGCGAAACGAGGTTGCGATGCGGAGGGGGCGGTGGAGGCGGTGTATCCCCTCGCCCGGGACCCCCTTCCTGGTATTGGCCATCCTGTAACTGGGGAGGTCGGTAGGGCCTGTACGATGGTGATGGCGATGGAGGCGCGGGAGAATGAGCTCTCATTGGTGAATACACTCTAGCTGGCGACACATCTCTTATTGGTGGTGTCCCCCTGTAATCCAGCTGATGCTTGAGAGGAGATCGTGACCTGGATGGCGATGCGTTTCGGAGCGGTGCCGGTGACGGTGAGTGCGAATGGGAGTGGTATGGCGCGGGGGAGGGTACGTATGGGGCGGGTGATGAAGCTCGGGGGCGGTATGGTGCTGGCGATGCTTCCCTGTAAGGCGACGGTGATGCTGCCCGAAAGGGTCCTGTCGGTGCTGGTGACCCGGCTAGAGGCGGCGGTATCGGTACCGGATACGGAGCCGGAGAGGGTGCTCGGTAGGGATTCGGCGACGCAGCCCTAAATGGTGCCGGAGAGGGTGCTCGGTAGGGATTCGGCGACGCAGCCCTGAATGGTGCCGGTGACGGTGCCCTCCCTCCATGGCTAGGTGGATGAGTACCGCCGTGGGAATATCCGTAGTCATTTCCTCCTGGGTGCCCTATGGGTCCTCGTGATCGTTGTCGAATCGAGCCGGCGCGCGGGGGTCGGCTTACGGAGCAGTCCTTGTAGGTCTCGGGAACTTTTGCTGTGGTATAATGGGGAGCCTTTGAGTAGGCCTCGAAGGGTTTTCGAAAGGTCCTCGACTTGTGTGGGGTGCCGCTGGGACTGGGAGAGTGGCTGGCAGCCATTGGGCTCGCGGATCTGCTGGTCGGCCTGAAGTTTTCTGGCATCAGCTCGACGAAGTTGGAGGGGAAGACGCCAATTGCCCTCCTGTCGCGCCATAGCCTCCCCGTCCACCACGAGCCGTCTCCGGCGTTGAGACATTCTATCAGGTCGCCTTCGATGAAACCGAGATCGCGTTTGTTCTGCAAGTACACGAGGATCGGTCAGTCAACTTTGGAAAGTGAGGTTGGAATGGGATGGGAAGCAGCATTGGCACTCGCGATTGCTGGGCAGGACGGACCGCAGGAAGGTAATTGCAGTATTTTGTCTAGTCACGCACCTCTCCTCCCCACGAGTAGACAGCCCGAACCCAACAAGGGAAGCGCGTCGGGACTGGTGGTGGTGCGGGAACCATATCTTTGTCGAGTCGCGGCGGGCAGGTGTCTGTTGTCAGGGGCGGTGGGACTGAGTGGGAGTCCAAGTCGTCTGCACTCGAACCCGCACGTACACAGGCGTGGGCTTGTGTGGTTGCTATGTCAACAAAGTCGGTCGGCCACACACCACTTGCAAAAACAACCTGGGACGGAGCCTTGGTTCGGACGAACAAGCGGACGGAAACAGCAAAGCACCAGCAAAGCAAAAGCTTACAGCCCAAACCTTTGGACGGACAGACCTGGCGCAGCTGAAGATGGGATGGATCCAGACCAGACCGAATTGGAGCTATAAGCCTGTATGAGGCATCCAGGGTGGAGCTGCAAAAATGGGGAATCCGCTTCGGGTGCAGAGGGAGGCTGAAGAGCTGGAGTCGGGTCGGGCAGAGAGAGACCGACGACGACAACGACGACGACGACGACTATCTCGCTACTCGATTCACACTCTCTAGGTAACTCCTTGCCTAGGCAGCCCTGTCGACGTGCCTGTCTGACCTGTTGCCGTCTTTCTGTTCAAGGGTTGTCGGTTCGGCGCGGTTTGGTGAGATTATGGGCGGCGGGCTCTTGCTAAAGGTCGACTCAGGGAGGCTTCAATTGTGTTTGTGTTCAGTGTTCCCTTCAGTGGTGGCTCCCTTCTGTTCAGTTGTTGTCTGTGAGACGCGGGACGCGGGCGGGATCTTCCCAACCACCCAATTCCAAACAAAGCAGTTGAAGGGAAGGGATTGGACAGGAGGCTTTGCGTTTTTGATATTCCCCGCAAAATTGTAGTGTACTAGATTCTAGCGAGGTAAAGGTATACCCACTCCCGCTAAGCTTCCGGTCAATGTCAATCAAGGAACAATGCACACCACCATGGCATCGGGAAGTGCAAGGTGCAAGGTGCAAATCAATGGATTTCTTGGAACAAAAGGATTGACGCAACGGCCAATGTCCAATGGAACAGAAAAAGAGGCTAAAGGTCAACTTCGGTTGTGGTAGGCTGCCCTTGTTTGGTTGGAGAAGTTGGAGACCTTGTAGGCAATGCCAAGCAAGGGTTGACTTTCTAGGGAGACTGGCACTCTGTGAACTGCTGAGCGAACGTGTGGGTTCCGTGTGGAGGTCGATCAACCGTAACAACAAAGTTGAAAATAGAAAAACGAGAACAAATCTCTGCAGCAATGCTCCGAGATGATTGACATTTGCTCGGCCCACTCCGTACTTTGATGCTTCCTCAAACCCAGGCAAGCCAGGTACAGTCAGGTCACTGCAAGTAATCGCTGAGGGTACATGTAACATACGTACATCCGTCCAGCCATCCCGCCATCCTTATTAGCGCGCAACACAAACAGGGAATACCTCTAAAGAGTATGATGGTATAGAAAAGTCTACGAGTATTCTTCTTCTATCCGTCCAAGCTTCTATCCGTAGGCTGCCCATTGTTCAATGCAAAACATCAAACACCGGAAGAACACTAGCTTCCCAGAAATTCTGCATCAAGGGAGACGGGACTAGGTACAGAGGCTGGAGACAGGCTCCGCAGGCACACTGCACCTGACTGCACTGCGCACACAGCGGGAACCGATTGGGTTGCAGCTTGTGTTTCGAATTGCACAAGTGCGGTCCCGTCCGAGCTATGCGTGCTCGAATATGCTTCTACTCACGCACTTGCGCAGCAGACGGCGCAGAGTCGCAGATGCGGAGCGGGTTGGAGGCAGAAAGACTCGTAACTTGCAGAGGCCTGCCCTTGTTCCCTTGCCGCTGCACATCGCACAATGCACAACAAACAGAGCCGCCTGCTCGGGGCGTCCATGTTCGATGCCTGTCGGGGCTTGATGCAGTCGCAAAGTCCCGTCGCTAGTGTGGGCTCGTCTCACCTCATCTGCTGCAGTGCGCGCCCGTTGCTTGGGACGATCGAGACGCGCTTCTCCATGCTGACTGGCTGTAAGCGCGGGACCAAGAGTGTTTGAGAGTGTTGCCATGGGAAACCGCGGGAAACCACCCCGGCCAGCATTCGTCGCATCGTCGCAGCATTCTCAACGTTACAGGCGTGTGCGGGCAGTGAGGCCAGTGTTTCGTTTCTCTGTCAGAGTGTCAGTCGCTCTCACCTTGAAGGGCAGAACGGAAGGGAAAAAAGAAGCCCCACCTACCCAATCGAGAAGAGTTTATAAGTTGGTTGCTTGGATACAATGTTGGCGAGGTGACGTTTGTCGCATCGGCACTGCATTGCTAGGGCGACTAGGAGCGTCCATCTGGATTCAACGGAGAAATTACGCATGGCCCCCCGCAACCGTGTACTTCGATTGGCTGCTTCGCGACTGCCCCGGCGCGGCGGCGCCCTCGACAGGCCCTTTCAAGACTTGAAGACCGAATCGACAGGCATGCGAACATTCCCTCTCCATCCAGCTCCCCATCACGCTACCAGGTACACCCAATGATCCAGAGACACACGCAGAGGGCAATGCAGGGCATAGCCTTTTCTCTGTTCTCATTCCCAAATCCCTCGCTCAGCCGCTTTGCGCGCGATTGCCCATTGTCGAACCAAAAGGGAGCACGCAGGAGACGAGGCAGAATACACTTCCACCGCCAGATACAGTTATTGCGATAGCCGCAACACGAGGAAACAAACGGGGTCGACGACCATCAGGACTAAGCAATCTCCGAGATCTGACAAGTGCCAGGTTACTTCAGCCCTGCGGTGACCTGCTAGCAGCCCCCCCTATCGAGTAAACAATGGCCCATGCCCTCCCATTCGACAGCCGCCCGCACACGACCAGTGTACAGTGACAACCAGTCCCGGTCCTGGTTAGCCAAAAACCAAGGATTAGATTAAACATTGAGCGCCCGCTTCCGCCGGCCATTCAGCCCAGTTCAAGGTCCTGTGCTGAGCCCGCCTGCAGCCAAGTTGGATGTTGACTTGCAGCTCCTCAAACAACTAGAACCTTGGGACTAAGATTTGACTTATAGCTGGCCCTTCGTCCTCCCTCACCTGGCTCAACCTCAAACCTCGAACCGATGCGCCTCTTCCGCTCGGTTGTGTTCTACTAGTAGTCAAGAACCTCAGACACCGTCTTTTTCTTCCCTTTTTTTCTTCATTTATTTGGACGGACCCCAGCCGACCAGGTTGCCCCCCTTTTCAGTCCACCCCACCAGTCATTAATTTGCAGTCGATTTGCGGTCAGCGGCAGATCCAAAGCGAAAAAGTACTCCACCACGCCTCGCCCTGGACACCTCGCTGGACAACCAAAAGAGGTCACCTCCAACTACTCCACCACCAGTGGTCGCCAGTGAGTGGTGCGTAGTCGCGCGCACTTGACCTGCCCTCCATCGCGACTCGCGACAATCACCCTCCTGTAACTCCAAAGATGGCCGACGAAGGAGTCGCCAACCACTACCAAGTGCTGGAAGAACTTGGCCGTAAGTCACATCCCACTTCCACATCCAGCCACCACCTCAAAATGAAACGCTGACTTTTTGGTGCGCCAACACCCACAGGAGGCAGTTTTGGCGTCGTTTACAAGGGAATTGACAAGACAACGGGCGAAACAGTGGCCATCAAACATGTACGTCTTGTCGCATTGGGCTGCATCGCATCGCATCGCATCGCATTCCATGACAATCTGTCCTCGACAAAAAAAAACTAACTTTTTGCGCCCCGCCAGATTGACCTCGAGTCCAGCGAAGATGACATCCAGGAAATCCAACAAGAGATCTCGGTGCTCAGCACATGCGCCAGCTCTTACGTCACTCAGTACAGGGCGAGCTTCTTGCGCGGCCACAAGCTATGGATCGTGATGGAATATCTCGGGGGAGGTTCCTGCTTGGACCTCGTAAGTCTGGTCATGTCGTTGTCGCATCCCACCTATATTATGCTTGCTAACAAGACTCTGTGCGCCAGCTCAAACCGGGAAACTTTAGCGAAGTACACCTTGCCATCGTCTGCCGCGAACTCCTACTCGGCCTCGATTACCTACACGCCGAAGGAAAGATCCATCGTGACATCAAAGCCGCCAATGTCCTGTTGTCGGAAGCCGGAAAGGTCAAGCTCGCTGATTTCGGCGTTGCAGCGCAGTTGACACATATGAAGTCTCAACGCAATACCTTTGTCGGCACCCCATTCTGGATGGCCCCCGAGGTCATTCAGCAGGCTGGCTACGACTTCAAGGCCGACATCTGGTCCCTCGGTATCACTGCCATCGAACTGGCTGTTGGCGAGCCTCCGTATGCGAACATTCACCCAATGAAGGTCCTCTTTCAGATTCCCAAGAACCCACCACCACGACTGGAGGGCAAGTTCAGCCGAGAGTTCAAGGACTTCGTCGCTCATTGTTTGATCAAAGACCCTGCGCAGCGCCCGACGGCTAGAGACCTGCTCAGGCATCGATTCATCCGCACAGCTGGAAGGGTTGAGGCGTTGCAGGAACTGATCGAGCGCAAGCAGATGTGGGACGCCAAGCAAGACCGTGTCAAGCTTCCCGTCTTTTACCAAGAAACCCTCCACACCATGAGCCCCAAGGACGACGATGACGAGTGGGTGTTCGAGACCATCAAGTCGGTTGCGCTGCCCAAGAACCCCATGAACGTCGACACTACTCCTACAAAGTCCAGGGACCCATCTAGAGTACGAGAGACGGAAGAAGGCATGCGAAGAGTGCATGTCAGAGACGGTCCCCTCCAGCCCTCCACCCCTCAGACAGTGAGGAAAGCGACAGTACGGCGACAACCATCGGCCGCAGCCGCTCACCAGCAACGGCGACTTTCCACCTCGACAGGCTCACCACGACCGCCTGTCGCAGCAGCAAAGAGGCCTCTTCAGACGGATATGTCGTTTGGCAACTCCGGTTCTACTATGCGACTCTTCCGTCGTGTGCCTTCCGACCACGAGGGTCCGAAAATCCACCAGGAAAGGCCCCAGGAGGTAGCCAATGACGAGAACCGACCTCCTTCCGCGATGCAGACGCCCATCGAGCCCACTAGCAAGGAGGCGCTCCTCGGTCGTCGTCTTTATAACAAGGCTATTGAGCCTGCGCTCGAAGAGCTTCATGCGCAAACCGGTCCATCACAAAAACGCGAGGCCCTGGCCAATCTGTCCGATGCTTTCGCCGATCTCGACTTGGTGGATCCTGAAGGAGCCTACCACCTGCTCCGACACCTCCTTTCCTCGATATCACAGGATAACAGGCTCAGTGCAGCACTACTGAACGCCAGCAAGATCTCGCCCGGTCAGCACCTTCACAGGAAATCTGTAGACGGCACACCGCAGAGCAAGAACCGCGACCTCAACCAACGACCCTCGACATCAGCCGGTGTCACTCATAGCCAAAACATTCTCCAGACCCCATCACGCTCCCCACAGAAGCCGGTGCTTTCCGCCAGCCCGACTAAACTGATGATTAGCCAGCAGAACACGCCCTTGGCCAGCCCCAGACCAAGGCGGGAGAGTGTTGTTGCAGCGCCGTTGTCCACACCGAAGCCCGCCGCAGAGAGGACGAGCAGCAGCAGGCCATCTTCTGTGATGGCAACAGCACCAGGAACCCCTATCCACCAAATCCAGCAGCCTCAACTAATACAACCGACCCCATCGCCCCAAAAGAAGGAGCCCCAGCTCTTGCAGCAACATTCCGCCCCGTCTCTTCAGAAGAAAGAAAATCCGCCGCCCCTCCAGCAACAACTCTCCCACCCGGTCCTCCAGCAGGAGAAGCAGCGAAGAGAGGCCAGCTCGCAACAGCTTGCCCAGCAGCTACAACAGCAACAGCAGGCCCAGTTACAGCAAGCCGCCCATAGACGAAAGGAATCCTCCAACTCGTCCTCTCATCAACTTCCACCACCCCAGCACCATCAGCGGAGAGAGTCGTCGCAGTCGTCTCATGCCAGCAGCCGGTCCCCCGAGAAGCAGGAGCGCGTAAGGGAGAGCAGCAGCAGGGAGCTGCGCGAGCGGGCGGCGCTCGAGGCAAAGTACCCGGGCCAGCCGGCGGTGGCGGGCATGGAGCACTGCAAGGCGCTGTCGGATCTGTTGTATGCGAGGTGGACGGATGGGCTGCAGCATCGGTGGGGGGCTGTTGCTGGGTCTTAGTGTGGTGAATGAAGGGACTTGGTCGGGAAGTGAAGAGATGGTGAAGACGTGAATGAAAGGGCAAACCATTCTGGCTGCGAAAAGCCAAATACATGGCTCAAAAAGAGGGAAAGAGCAAAGGAAAGGGGAGCAAGAGATACCATTATTTTCTTTTTCGTGTCCTATTATCATTGTCTGGATTTTTTTTTTCTTCGGTTGTGGCGAACGGACGGACTGGGAGCGTCATTCAGCATTTTATCATATATGTTCTTTGCACAGCATCGGTCGGTGGCTAAGCAAAAGAGGAGGAGGGAGGAGAGAGGAAAGGAAAGGGGCCCTTTTTTCCCCCCTTTTCTGGTCACACTTTTCTCATCACATATCCCGTTTGCGGTCCGGCATATCCCTTTCTTCACATTCTACTTCATTTTCTCATCACACTTGCTTATTACGCAACTGGCTGGAGTTTTTTTTTTCATTTTCTTTCTGTTCAAGGGATACCAATTGTTTACATCATTTAGGGTTTGGAAGGGAAGGGGAGAGAGAAACCGGTTATGGAACTTGAGAGGATGGTTGTGGCTGCGGGGGCGGTTTAGATAGGGGGCGGTTGGTTGGGATGGTAGGATGGATGAATTATATGGATGGATGGATGATCATTTCGAGTTGGGGACTTATCACCAACATGGACCTATACTACGGGCCGCCCTGATTGAATTAAGGGAGCAAAAAGGGAAACGATCAAAAACAATGAACCATATTTGCATCCTTCATTCTCTTAGTAGTGGTAGTAGTTAAAACTTAGTCGAAAGGGTCAAAATACATCCTGTATAGCCAAGCCATATTGCTACTTGTACGTCTCTTCTGCTTTTGTTTTTCTTGGCAAGGGGTTGAGTATGTATGTCTACAAGCTGCCAAGTGACAAAAACAAAGTGTTGAAAAGACAACAATGTACTGTTTCTCAGAACAACAAACTTGCTCCATCTGTTGCCATGGTGATCACCAACACCTTCCCAAAACGGAAACTGGAGCCATTCGGGGATTTAGTGCTGACTCACCTCAACTCTCACCTTGTTTTACGGGAGACGTTCGGAGGCTTCCGATGGGTGGTGACGGCTTCCAACGGACTAGTCCCCGAACTCCGGAGGCATAGTGGAGCTACCTCGCCATCATGGGTTTCCAGGCATCAGTTGACTGTCATGGGGCTAAGGCCCAGGGGTTTAGTTTAGTTGCCGCCAAGCCGGTTGCATGCGGCTTACCGATGATGTAAGCCGATGCGAGCCCTCTGGTTGGTCAGGCCCCACTTGTTTGCCTGCCCCGCGCCGTCTGGGCTCTGTTATCCCATGTACTATAAAACCCTATTTCGATTGTACCCTTCTAGTATAGTCTTCCTTCTTACTTTCCTTATTAAATATAGCATTTTAACCTTTTGACTGCTCGCTGTGCTTAACTCGTTCAGAACCGTTATATTATATTTGACTCTCTTTTTAAGTTAATACCATCGCCTTTCTTTCGTAGGCACGCCCGAAGAGTCTCTCCCTTTCGTTATTCTCGCCTCCTCTAATAATAAATCCTCGCCCTACTTATATTATAATATTTTAGTAACCGCTCCCCTAGATCGCTTAGTCAATTAATTCTTAAGAATGCCAACGATAATTTATTTCCCTTACTAAATAATTAATTATTGAGATCGCTAATTTTAAGACCTCGGCCTCCTCTCTTCCCGATTGTTACGAACTTTAAGCGATGACACGGGCCAACCAAGCCACCGGGAACACAACAGCCACGTGAAGGCTGGGTGGTGTAACCTTCCCAGGAATAAGAGCCAGGATCGGAACAAGGAGGGCTCACATCTACCAAGACAGGCTCATGGGACAGTCAAGAGCTCATAAGCCGAGAAGAAGCTCATGAGACGTCTGAAGGCTCATGAGCCAGTTCACGATCAATGAGCCAGACACATGTAACTAGAATCACCAGAGTATAAAGGGACAACTGGAGAACTCAGATTGTCAGATAGTTCGACAGTAGTCAATAGACCATCGTCATCAGAGGCACGTATAACGATACTTGTTGTGAACCTTTTGGCTTCACCGAACTGCACCTGATAGTTTACTTCCTTCAGCTATCTCATTTAGGCAGATCAGACTGCCGTTCGTCACACGATTCGCTTACTTTACGAAAGCTAATCCTTCCCTACTTCGAAAGATTTTTAGGGAGTAAAGAAAAGTTTGAAACCTAGGTTTTAAGCACGTAGGCTAAATTCTATATAGATAGACCAATTATTAGCGATTTAAAAACGTAATTTTACTATCTACTCGCCTACCTATCACCTGTTATTAAGAAGCTACTCGTTGCCTTCGCCGTCTACGGCCCTCGGTTTCCCTATAAGCTTATTGAAAAGCTTAAACTTATATACGGGGACCCCAATACGGTTAAAAGAGCTAATTAAGAATTTTACTAGCTATATTAAAAATCCGGCTCTAGGGACTCTATAGCGGCCTTTATCGTTCAATTTAAAGAAGTCCTTTACCGTATTCGTATAAATTCTTAGTCCGACGCCGCTAAAGTTAGCTGATTTACCGCTACTTTAAATATCGATTGGAAGCAATAATTCTCCGACCGAACCGATATACCTAAGTAATATTCCTAATTACTTAAATATCTCTATCGTTTTAATAATAATACTTTTCATTTAGCCTCCTCCTTATTGAAGTAGGCCCTAATTAATAATAACGTTAATAATCCTATAGATACTTCTATTAATACTTTAGTAACTAAGCCCTTATTACCGTCTTAGAAGTAAAAGAATAAGTACAAGAAGGAGGGTAAGTATACGAACTATAAGAATAGTTCCTACTAATTTAAATAATACAAATAGAAGATAAAGATAAATAACGTTTAATATAACCTAGTAGGGGTTCAAATAGTTACAATAGTAATAATTAAGAAGAAGAGCTCTTAAATTGAATAAAAAGATCTTATTAGAAACGACCCTAATAAAACTATAGGTAGGAGAGCACTTTATACCCGAAAGGAAGGGTCCCTATAGTTTACCCGGACGCTATCTACTAATTAGATAGATAAAACCTTATAATAATACCTCTTATCGCGTAGTTAGCGTAATACTAGTATTTATTACAATATGTAACCGTAGGAAGGTAATAGATATTAGAGTTTGTAGGTATAAAAATTATTAAGGCTGTTCTTTAGCGAGGGAATAAGAAGGTAGCTGATTATTAGTAGGAGAAGTAAAATAATACAAAGTATTGGATAATAGCCTTAATTCTGATTATTTCCGTTATAGATTACTAATATAATACAGCAAAAGAAAGCTCCAGATTTAAGCAAAATCTAGAAATATCCCTTAATTTAATTTTAGTACTAAACTATAGCGTAGCTCTATAAGGGTAGGCGATAGGCGTATCGTTACTGATTCGGGTAAGAAGTAGGTAATTATATAGCATTTATTTAGGGGCTTAATATAAATACTTTTCTTAATATTATTGATTTTCCCTATCTACGAACATTTAGTATAGGTGCGGTTGTACTAGATTTTAGTCTTTTTCGTTTTTATCTTATATAGTAGGCTTAGGGGAATAGGGGAGTAATATTATATGGTTAAAGCCCAGGGGTTTAGTTTAGTTGCCGCTAAGCTGGTTGTATGCGGCTTACCGATGATATAAGCCGATGCGAGCCCTTTAGTTAGTCAGACCCCACTTGTTTGCCTGCCCCGCGCCGTCTGGGCTCTATTATCCTATATACTATAAAACCCTATTTTGACTATACCCTTCTGGTACAGTCTTCCTTCTTACTTTCTTTGTTAAATATAGCATTTTAACCTTACGACTACTCGCTGTGCTCAACTCGTTCAGAACCGTTACATTAATAAATAGATGCCGAAGCTTGAACCGAAATCGGTAGCTGGGTAGTCCCAAACTGGTCCCTAGGTAGTCCCCCCTACTTTTTAACGCTAAGTAAGCCCAGCCGCCTAGTTTAGCCGCCTAGCCTAGCCTAATATACCGTACATATTACTGCCTAACTGCCGCCGTCATCGCGCGCTCTATATTAGCGATCGTTAGTTTTATATCATTAAATAAAGTTATCACGAAATTTTATCTTAGTATTAAATAACTGATTATAGTATTTATTTATTATCTTTATCATTATTTCGTATACTATCCTCGACTTTATTATATTTATTAATATATTGCCCGCTTACTACATATTACGTATTCGCTTATGTAAGTTAGATTTCTAATTTAATTAATTAAAATAATTAACGTTAATGGAATTTAATTAGAATTATTAATAAAATACCTTTGAATTTAATTCGAATAATTATTCCTAAATAGAATACGACCCCGCTAGTCGACTTTTAATTACTATTAGTCCGCCGCCATTGATACGAACGATCGAAATTAAAAATATAATTATTATCCCCTAGCGAATGCGCCGCCCGACTAGTAAAGTTACAATTATTATTTATATCCTTTAATTATAATAATATGATTATTATATTCGATGCGCTATAAAATTACGCTATAGAATAAGATTTTACGGTTATATTATATAATTAGATAAAAAATAGGAAGAAAGGAAAGCAGGGGGTTGTTAAACGAATTAATTATTATTATATATATAACCGCATTTATAAATCGATTAAGTAAAGTATGCGAAATACTACTTCGAAGCGGTTCGACTATTTATATTAAATAAAAATTATATTGAAGAAGAAGCAAGGTAATTAATAATCTACTAAAGAGATTAATAATAGTTATAATTATAACGTTGATATTACTACCTTTATTAATAATATTGTTTATTAATAATAGATTCGTTAAAATTATAAAAAAGCTATTAATATTATTGTTAAAATGTTATTTAATATCGCTAAAATAATTCTCGTTAAATTATTTATAATTTAAATAGTATTCTAAATCCTAAAATAGAAGTAGAAAACGTTACTTTTATTCAACACGCTAATAATAACAGTTTAATATTAGAACTTCGTAATCTTCGAATCTCTATTATTATTTAAGAGATTTTAAATATTTAAAAGCGTATTTATTATATAAAGTATAATCCTTATTCTTCAACGAAAATAATTATCGATTTTTTAAAATAGTATAAGAATATATATGGTATCGAACACTTTATTAACTATAATTTACTTTTTTTCAACAAATAGAGAATATTACGAATATTTTAAACTTTCGATTAATATATAGAAATATAGAAGAAGAACCCCTATATATTACTAGTAAATAATATATAGAAAGTAAGTATTACCCTTATTATTATTATTCCCCTTATTAATTCTAATTATTCGGATTTAGGGGTTTTTAATACTTATGTTTAAGGTTTTTTATTAATAATAATTAACCCCCTTTTTTTTTTTTAAATAAATTAACTACTTCAACATATTTTTATTTAATATTATTAATATTAATACATTAAATTATAATTTTAACGTTAACTTTAATCTCTTAAATAAAGAGAAATAAAAAGACTTTAAATAGTAATTTTATTACTTAAAAAAAATCCAAGAAGATTATAAAATTCCTAACCCTATAATACTTATTACTAACTTCAATAAAGGGTTTAAGAAGGCCGCTATTACTACCTACCTAAACGTACTATACTAATTCTATATATAATACATTATAAATAATATAAATTACTATATTAAGAAGAAATAGGTTTAATTACCTTTTAATAACAGGAATAATAATAGTTATAATTCTACCTCC